AAAAAATTATAGACCTCATTTGGAGAAATAGTTTTTGTTGTTGTTATTGTTGTTTTTAAGACTGAGGTCAGAAAAAAAATGTAAAAATTTGTAAAGGAGGTGAAATAAAGTGAATATTACTGATCAACTTCTAGAAAAGCTTTTATAGAGAATAATGGTCTAGTGGCACAGAGAAAAGTAAGTCCCATTCATGAAGTATATTCCACTGCTAAGAAAACAAAATGCCAATTGCATAAAGAATACTACTCTATGAAAAAAGCATAGAGGGAGATATTCCAGGGAAAGGACAGTCCCTGACACTTGGGCAATGCCCTCTGTCATCTGAGAAGGGAGACAGTACAGCATGACAACTGGATTCAGCCAGACCGGGCTCCAAATCTGGCTCTGTTGCTTGCTAGTGTTGAGACTGCAATCAGACACTTAGCTTCTCTGAGCCTCAACTTCCTCACCTCTAAAAATAAGCAAAATATTTCCTACTTCATAGGATTATTGTGGGGACTGAGATAATTCTTTTGTTAAGCAATGATTTGTGGATAACTTGTACATGCCCAGCCCTAGACCTCTCAATGAAATAATGTATATAAGTAGCTTTCCTCTGCACCTAGCACATTAATAAACACTCATTAAGTGGTAGCTGGTATTATGTATCTCCTTATGAAAAGAAAAGGAATATAGGCAAATACAGTAAAAGTGCATTATATTTCATGGCTCATTACTGCATAGCTTTAGGTCAAATACATTCCCCAAAAACCAGGCATACTAGGATAAAATTCAAGCACACATTCTGAATACTAAAGGGGGCGGATGCTGCCCACACCCTGGTTAGCATGAGGGAGTAGAAAGGGAAGAAGGAATCTGGCTGCTCCCTCAATATTTCCCATCCTCCTCACATGCCAAGCCAGAGCCTCTGCCAACACCAACACTTCCCTGTTCCGTGGTCTGCCATGGTGATGGAGGAGCTGGCTACTGGGCAGGTGTGTCTGTGTTGGCAGAATTTGGTGGGGTAGAAGCAAGACCTGTTGAGCCACTGTAAACGTACCTCATCAGGCTGGTTCAGGTCCTTCAGGTGCAGATCTTGAATGAGATACTCCACAATGCGCACACTATTGCTCTGAGCTGCAAAGTGGAGGGCATTCATTCCATCCTGAATGGAGTCAGGGTGGGGGAGACACTTACATCATGATCTCAGAACTTCCTCCCTCCTGCACTGGTGAAGTGAGAGTCTATATCCAGGTGTGACCCGCATACCTACCTGATTCTTGGCTCTCTGGTCAGCTCCAGCTCTAACCAGCATGAGCATGATCTCGAGGCTTCCAGACCAGGCTGCAAGGTGAATTGCTGTCAAGCCGTGCTTCCCCAAGAAGAGAGAAAAAGAGAATCTCTCAGTTGGCCAAGCCATAGCACCCTATCTCAATCAACAAAGGCCAAGTCGATACTAGATTGTTGGGAAGTAAGAAACAGAGAGATAATTTAATATACAGCAAAGGTGATATTTCAATTTTACAGGGAAAATGGGTACATTTAATAAGTGGTGCAGGCACAAGTGGTTCTCCATCTGGAAAAAATAAAATAAAATGGTATATCACACCATACCCTTAGATAAGCACACAAACTAAATATATTAGAACAAAATCCAGGCTATAATGTACAGTCTCTTAATCCAGAGTTAGAAAAGATAGGTCATAAGCAAAGTCACTAAACAAATGAAAGGTTTTCATGTGTATTTTAACAAAGATAAATGGTTATTTTTAATATATGAAGCACTCTTACAAATCGACAAGACAAAGACAAATAAACTGATAGAAAAACGGACAAAGAAAGGTGCTCTCTTAAGGTATTAATGGAAATGGAATACATTATTGTTTGAGTAATCTGGAAATATCTATTAAAATTTAAAATACAACCAGCAGTCCCACTCCTGGGAATCTATCTCATGAAAATAAAATTTCAGAACCTAATGTTATATATACAAGGATATTAATTTCAACACTAAAAACTGTGAGCAAGGTAAATGCCCATTAATATGGGAATACTGAATAAATTATGGATTTATTCAGTTCATGTGGAATAAATTATGGGATAGTCATACCATATCATGCAACATTAAAGATAATGAATTAGAGCTATAACTCAGAAAAATTTCCATGAGCTTTGCTAAATAAATATGGAAAACGAGGGAAGTTCTGGTCAAGATGGCGGAACAGATGGTCCCCAGCATCACTCTCTTCCACAAATCAACAAATATACAACTATAAAAATGTAACAACAGCCAAGCTGGGGCCACTGGAGCTCAGGTGAAGAGGAGGAGAGACCTATGGAATTCATGAAGGCAGGAGAAACCATGATGAGAGAAAGAAAAAACTGCTTTCAGCATTTCAGGCTGTGGCTGCTTTAATGCTGGAGCTCATGGAGCAGGAGTCAGCAGAAGCTGCAGCTGTGCCCTTTAGGTGGAGTTACTTGGAGGCAGCAGGGGAGAAGAGGACTTTGGTGGCCCCCAGGACAGCAAGACCACTAATAGGGTTCCCATGGACCCACGCAGGAGCAAGGAGCCAGAACAGCTGAAAAAGGGGAGCCACTCAGAGGCCAGTGAGTCAACACAAGGGACAGGTGCAGGGCCTGTCCCATGGGAAGTGTTTGGAGCATGGGCAGTGGGGGAGATGGGCCCACCCAGGGGAACATTGGGACACAAGAAGGACAGATGATCCACCCCCCTATCAGTGCAGGATCACTCAGAGGAGACTGGTCGGGAATGCAGAATTGCATGGGGTGCAGTTTGATGAAAAACTCAGGCCTAGATCAGAGTTTCTACACAACCTAGGGGCAGCGAGTATCTGGAGAGCCGGAAGTATCTATAAGGTCAACCATTAAACCCTGAGCTGCACAAAAAGCTTTCCGTAGGGAAACAGAAGCAAAGCAGCAATTTAGCTCAACCACACAGCTCCAGTACTGGTTCCCACAGGAAGTTCCCCCATGTTAAAAGTAAGCAAAGGACAAAAAATTAGTTCTGGCCCAGGCACACCAGCAATGCCTTGAGGCCCACCAGGGGACATGAGGCATGGAGCCAGGGCAGGACCCCCCACCCACAACCACTCACATGACCAGCACCTCGGGGCCCTGCCCAGGAATCTGAGGATTGGAGTTGGGACCAGACCCCACTCCCACATCAAGGCACACCACCAATGCCTCAGGGCCCATCCGAGGACCCCGAGCTAGCAGCTGGGGACTGAACCTCCTTCTCATACACAGGCACACCATAACAGCACCTCAGGGCCCTACCCAGGAGCCCGAGGCATGGAGAAGGGTACCAGACCCCCCTCCCACAACCAGGCACATTGCCAGCACCAAGGAGCATGCCAAAGTCATCTCCTCCATGTGGGTGGGCCACCACAGCCACCATGATGACCATGGCTGCCACGTAGGCGGCTAGATGCCACAACCACCACACAGATTGTCTGCCACCCACTGGAGTGCATTGACACAAGAAGAGTCACCAGCAGAGATGAAGAAAGGAGGATGATGTCTCTCTCCACAGAGCCCATTTCAGAGTGACAGAAGAGACATCTGCTCTATGATAGTATTGGGGGACCTGATCATGCCTCTCAGCATTGGACAGATCATTTGGGCAGCAAATCAACAGAGTAACCATCATTCTTTCAGAGGGAGAAAAGAAATCTAGGGTAATTGGGGGGGAAAGGGGATGGGGAGGGATGAGACAAGGGGCATAGAGAATAATTACGATTTGTAACAATATATATGCTAGTAATATTGATTTGGTCAACATATCTCAATGTTGAACCCCAAAAATATGTATAATCAATTTTGATTCAATAAAAATTTTTTAAAATGGAAAATGAGATAGAAAATGTAATATAATGTCACTTTTTTACAAAAGAAGCAATGAGAAATAATATATACTCATGGGTATATGTATAGATCTATACATATCCATATATGTATATGTATATGTATACCCATATGAATATATGTATATATCTATCTCTATCTATAGGTGGGTTGGTAGTTAGGTAAATTGATACAGATATGAATAAATGAGCATGGAGAGAAGTACAGAAATAAACACACATAGATTGTGAAGTATAGTTACCGGGGGAGGGGAGGGTACACAAAAATAGAAAAAAAAAAAAAAAAACTAGGAAAGTTGTAAAAGGATCCCATTTGGGGCCAGCCCGGTGGCGTACTGCTACAGTGCGCCGCTTGGGAAGTGCGGCGGCGCTCCCGCCGAGGGTTCGGATCCCACATACAGACCGGTTCCCACTCACTGGCTGAGCGAGGTGCAGGGAGCAACACCGAGGGTTGCGATCCTGTTGCCGGTCTCGGGCCGGTACGGGCGCGACACTGAGGGTTGCAATCCGTTGCCGGTCATGAAAAAAGACAAAAAGGAAAAAAAAAAAAAAAGGATCCCATTTACACAGAAGCTATTTGAAAGATTCCATCTACACAAAATTATATAGATATGTGTGTGTGTGTGCACATGTGTGCATAAAGTAGTGAGACTGAGAGGGAGATTCATATCAGGACTTACTAACCTATAGGAATGTTGCGGGCAATTGTATGCTTTAACTGTGTACCTAATAAGTAGGGAGAAAAGTGTGGAAGGAAACATAGTCAGCAGTTAACATTGGCTATTTCAGGAAGGTGGGATTGGAGGGAAGTAAACTGGAAAAACTGATCTGCACCTTGAGCCCTAAATCAGAGAAGCAGTATAGAGCAGACATTATGAGCATGATCTTTAAGATCAAACAAAACTGATCTCAAATTCTGGTCACTTTCTACCACTTTCAAACACTGTGATCTTGGTCAACAAAGTTAACTCAGCCTCAGGTTCCCTTTCTGTAAGTTCATGTATCTGCTTTTCTGTTCATTTATCTCTGTCAAAAAGAAACCCATTACCTCTGTAGAAGTGCCTGCCAAAAGCAAGCCCTCTCATTACATCATATTTGCCTCTCCTAATTGGCTGTTCGCAATCCAAGAAACTGGTCTGTACACAGTATGAGAAAATAGGCAAGGAATGAGGGTCAGTAGGGCATGTCCATTTGCAAAGTGCATAAGACTTTGGCATTTATTTTGGCTGCCCAGAAACTGCATTTGTGTCTTCTCTTAACAGAGTTCAGGTCAGAAGAGTTAAAGAGCAAGTCCCAGATTATTGTGTAGCTCTAAATTGGTGGTTCTCAACTGGAGGAAATTTTGAACACAGGGAATATTTGGGAATATCTGGAGACATTTTTGAATGTCATGACTGGGGATAATATTGGCACTTCGTGGGTAGAGGGTGGGGATGCTGCTAAACATTCTACAATGCACAGGGAGGCCCCCAAAACAAATTTGGCCCAAAATGTCAATAGTGCTGCTGCTGTGAAACCCTGCTCTAAAAGTACATATCCTATCAAATTTACATTTCAGCTGTCAGACTACATGGTGGATTAGTCTATTTACATATTTACAGTTGCAGTATGACAAAACTCTTAATTTCTATATTCTTTTTCCCAGGGAACAAAGATGTACAATGACTAACTCGTTGAGGTTCTTCAAAAAATGTGCCCTAAACACAATTCCACCTCTTAATTTTAGCTTCCATACAAATCAATGCTCTATATTCAGTAGTACTAAATATGACTTCACATATGGTCATAAAAGAGACACGAAATGTTTGAGACAAGTGATAAATTTCACTTTGATAGGAGCTTTATTTTTCCCTAAGAGGTCATTCCTAGTTTCAAAGCAGCCCATATTTAAAAATTCTAAGCACTGATCATAAAATCTAAAAGCTGGGAATTCAGGCTGCAAACAATTTGAGTCTCTGAAACCACAAATTCAGAGTGGAGCCATCTTTCCTCAGAGGCAATGAATCACTGCTCACAGTGTATATTCCCCCAGAAGGACTCTCATAAAACAAATTCTTCTTACATGAAACTGACATGCCCATGATTGTTTAAGAGATTGTGTCATGAATTATACTCATAGTTGGCTCATGATGCTCTCTGTAAAGTGTCAAATGCTTGACAGTCACTGACAACCTGTCCTCTTTACCTGTCTGGTCACAGGTGACGTCAATAACTTGCCCTGGGAAACACTTTACATTTGAGGAGCTTCCCAAAGAAGCCATCAGAGCAGATGTTTTTCATTACCCTCTGAGGACCACCTGCACTCCCACCTAGGATCCTTTGTTCATACCTGGAGTAAGATCCTCCATTTATCTATCTATTCTGCCTCTTCCCAGGACTCAGGGATGTCGCCCACTTTGATCCTGAAGGTCCTCAGTGGTTGTGTCAGGCATTTGATCCTTAGCATGCAATGCTATGAACAGTACTTATTTGTTAGTCTCTGTCCTTG